TTCAGTTAATTAAACTAAAGGTATTACTTTGATTGTAACAGTTATATTACAATAAAACGATACAAAACACGTCCGTGATTACTGGTGTTTATTTCAGTTAATTAAACTAAAGGTATTACTTTGATTGTAACAGTTATATTACAATAAAACGAAATAAAACACGTCCGTGACTACTGGTGTTTATTTCGGTTAATTAAACTAAAGGTATTACTTTGATTGTAACAGTTATATTACAATAAAACGATACAAAACACGTCCGTGATTACTGGTGTTTATTTCGGTTAATTAAACTAAAGGTATTACTTTGATTGTAACAGTTATATTACAATAAAACGATACAAAACACGTCCGTGATTACTGGTGTTTATTTCAGTTAATTAAACTAAAGGTATTACTTTGATTGTAACAGTTATATTACAATAAAACGATACAAAACACGTCCGTGATTACTGGTGTTTATTTCAGTTAATTAAACTAAAGGTATTACTTTGATTGTAACAGTTATATTACAATAAAACGATACAAAACATGTCCGTGATTACTGGTGTTTATTTCAGTTAATTAAACTAAAGGTATTACTTGATTGTAACAGTTATATTACAATAAAACGATACAAAACACGTCCGTGATTACTGGTGTTTACAGATTACATCTAGAAAGAGACCTGCAATAAGTCGTACCCAGGCGTAGTAAGCAGAGTGGCATATTGTAACGCAAAGATGAGCGACAAAAGCCATCCACGTGTCACAAGCAACACAACGCAACATAATGAAAAAGTATATCCGGCTGGAAACGAGGTCAATAGGGTACAGGTTCAACCTCTTCTAGTCATACCTCAAGTAACTGGAAAAATTGGATTTCTGTATGATAGGACTGTTGAAATGGACACTGAGAAACTATTGTTTTTACTATACTAGATGGATAATGTAAAGCATCGTGGTGGAAGGGTTTGCTTTGGACACGATAACCTAACGAAGAAGCCTTTGACAATGGAAGTTACGCTGCAGGAAAAATACTCCTACCAAAACAGCTCATAACATCAAAGTCACTACATTTGTATGTCTCTGCCTGTCTTTATGCACACTTTCACTTTGTATATGTGTGTGTATATAGTTATTTTACTGAAAATGCCCATAAGAAAATATTTGTTATCATGACACGCAAACTGTGACCTTTTTATTATTTCTGATAATCATGAACTGTGGCGGGAAAAAAATGAAGCTTGAGATTTTCACGTGTCATGAGTTTGGTATGTTTATGTAAATTCCACTTCATCAACAGAACTGGGCAAAAGAAAATAAAAGAACAAGATCAGACTTGCAGTGGAGTTATTGTTGTTGTTGTTTTAAAGATAGGCACAAAGTTACAAAAAGGGCTATTCGTCCTCTACCCATCACGGGTATCGAAATTTCTGTGCCACGTGGGGGGGGGGGGGGAAGGCAGTAGTGTGGAAAACTTCGGTTTATGGTTGCAGTATTTATAATGTTCTTGCTTCACCACAAGAAATCCTATTAATTAAAAGAACAAATACTTAAAATATATGACGGTAATATATTTTATTAGCTATATATTTCTTACTTTATCTTTTTTTTTTTCGAACTTTGAAACACGATTTCAAAACTTAATGAAAGGTATATGAGCTAACATAATAATTTCGTATACTGCATCCTAAGTTCTCTTGCACAATGCCAGACAATAGTTACAGGTTGTAGATAATTAAGGATAACTTTCACACATCGATTTACTTAGCAATAAACAAACAGAGACAATTATCAACACAAAGGTAGATAAGCCCCGATAAACCAGTATATCTGTGTCGTTTTGCACCGTTTCGTTAAACACCTTTAACGGGCGGTTGTCAGAAACAAACTACTTGCTCTCTAAACCCAGGGCTCGTTCCTCTGGTCCCATCCACTCTGGTCTCTCCTGATTCGATATCTGTGCCTTTCAGCATCTAGTAAATTAGCTGGTACTATGTATTTCTTTCAAGTTGTAGTTTTAGCTGTCTTCGGTTTAGTTATTTCTGGTTCTGAGGCGAACGATGGGGATCATCCACTAATTTTACAAGAACGTAATTTTCTACCTGAGATAACACAAGATGACTTTCGTGAAGCCTTGAAACGAGGATTGGACCTAGACACGGGAAGGAGCCTTTTGGGTTTAATACTGTCACAGATTTTGAACGTTGATTTTAATACGACATTATCTCCTCAATGTACAGCGGGAATCGTAAGCTTGATTAAGGACTTGACAACATCTCAGTTTTGGGCTATACAGAGTAAGTGTCGTATCATTGAATAGAATACTGATCATACGCAACGTCGCCACGTAACTATCCCCAAATCATATATATAATATTTGTCATGTAACTATCCCCAAATCATATATATAATATTTGTCATGTAACTATCCCCAAATCATATATAATATTTGTCATGTAACTATCCCCAAATCATATATAATATTTGTCATGTAACTATCCATAATTAATATACAATCTCGTCATGTAACTATCCCCAAATCATATATAATATTTGTCACGTAACTATCCATAATTAATATATAATCTCGTCATGTAACTATCCCTACATAATATACAATCTCGTCATGTAACTATCCCCAAATCATATATAATATTTGTCATATAACTATCCATAATTAATATATAATCTCGTCATGTAACTATCCCTAAATAATATACAATCTCGTCATGTAACTATCCCTAATTAATACACAATCTCGTCATGTAACTATGCCCAAATCATATATATAATACTTGTCATGTAACTATCCCTAATTAATATACAATCTCGTCATGTAACTATTCCCAAATCATATACAATCTCGTCATGTAATTATTCACAAATCATATATAATATTTGTCATGTAACTATCACTAAATAATATACAATCTCGTCATGTAACTATCCCTAAATCATATAAATCTCGTCATGTAGATATCCCTAAATCATATACAATATCGCCATATAACTATCTCCAAATCAAGTAACAATTCAGAAGAAACAGTAGACAGAACGTTCAAAGCACTTATATAGAAACTCTGTTAACCTAGTTACAGACTCCAACTGAAGAAGACAGATCAATGTTCTGTCGAAACATTCAGTGTATTCTCCCCAAAATAAATTACTTTATCGTGTTTATAAATCGTTATTTGCCAACTTGTTATTATATTCGTCTAATGGGCTTCTTTAGTCATGTAACGTTTTGATATTTTGATTTGGTTCAGTTTATATATGATCAAGTTATCATTTTGCTTTTACGCATTTATTTGTTGTTTATTCCACAAAATGTCTCGCATCATTTAAGTTATTTTCGGTTAGATGATATTAATAATTAAACAATAGGATACAATTTACTTAGTTTAAGGATATCAACGTGTAACAAACAAAAACAGGGTATTATATCACCTGAAAGAACATTTAACAAACATCTCACGCGAAGAACATACGAAAACTGTTATTATTAAAGTATTTCGTGAATTCACTCGTTTCACAGATCGACTAATTCACTCAAGTAAAACAGCTTAGAACGTTTTATTAAATACATCTTGTTAGGCCTGATGTTAAGTGCTATTTTTAGGGAGGAAACTGTTATTATTAAAGTGTTTCGTGAATTTACTCGTTTCATAGATCGACTAATTCACTCAAGTTTAAACAGCTTAGAACGTTTTATTAAATACATCTTGTTAGGCCTGATGTTAAGTGCTATTTTTAGGGAGGAAACTGTTATTATTAAAGTGTTTCGTGAATTTATTCGTTTCATAGATCGACTAATTCACTCAAGTTAAAACAGCTTAGAACGTTTTATTAAATACATCTTGTTAGGCCTGATGTTAAGTGCTATTTTTAGGGAGGAAACTGTTATTATTAAAGTGTTTCGTGAATTTACTCGTTTCACAGATCGACTAATTCACTCAAGTAAAACAGCTTAGAACGTTTTATTAAATACATCTTGTTAGGCCTGATGTTAAGTGCTATTTTTAGGGAGGAAATAGTGATGCTAGCTTTGCCAGGTTATGGACAAAGAAACATCTTTGGCAGTTTACTAATTTTATAATTTGAAATATGCAATCATATATATTATATTGTCACAGGTACACTAACTTTAAACATTATAGTCCTTTCACCACCAGGTGATTCTTTAAGTTTTTTTTTTTATCTAATTACAAGAGAATATATTCGATCTAAAAAGTAATATTACAAATTAGATTATATACCTTGAAATAATTTGAAGTCAAAGATTTGGACAATAAGATATTATGAATAATAAAAAGTATTTCAATCATTTGTTTCTTTCTAATCATGAGACTAACCCTAGAATAGGTGAAAAACACACGAAAGACAAGTAACAGTATATTTTTATACTTTAACACCGCAACAGCTGTTTAACGAATATCTCGCATTTCAAAGTTACCTATCTCA